TTTTTCATATCTCTGATTGTACACAAAGTAGAGTCATACCATTCATCTCTTCATACATGTACTTAGGGTAATGATGTCCATCTCATTCCACTGTCTTTCTTACCCACACATCTTCCTCTTCCCTCTCCTTTGACCTATCTAAAGTTCCTCCATTCTGCCCATGCTCCCCCCATCCCCTTATGGATCAGCATCCACATATCAGAGAAAACATTTGGCATTTGGTTTTTGCAATTGGCTTACTTCACTTAGCATAATATTCTCCAATTCGTCCATTTACCTGCAAATGCAGTGATTTTATTCTCTTTTATTGCTGAGTAGTATTCTATCGTGTATATACACCACATTTTCTTTATCCATTCATCTACTGAAGGGCGTCTAGGTTGGCTCCACAATTTAGCTATTGTGAATGTGTTGCTATGAACATTGATGTGGCTGCATCATTGTAGTATTCTGTTTTTAAGTCCTTTGGGTATAGACTGAGGAGTGGAATAGTTAGGTCAAATGGTGCTTCTATTCCAAGTTTTCTAAGAAATCTCTATACTGTTTTCCATATTGGCTGCACCAATTTACAGTTCCACCAACAATGTATGAGTGTGCCTTTCTCCCCACATCCTCACCAACACTTATTGTTATATGTATTTTTAATAGCTTCCATTCTGACTGGAATGAGATAAAATCTTAGAGTAGTTTCAATTTGAATTTCTCTAATTGCTAAAGATGTTGAACATTTTTTTTATATATTTGTTGATTGATTTTATATCATCTTCTGAGTAGTGTATGTTCAGTCCTTGGTCAATTTATTGATTGGGTTATTTGTGGTTTTGGTGTTAAGATTTTTGAGTTCTTTATATACCCTAGAGATTAGTGCTCTATCTGTTGTGCATTTGGTAAAAATTTGCTCCAATTCTGTAGGCTCTCTATTCACCTCACTGATTGTTTCTTTTGCTTAGAAGAAGATTTTTAGTTTGAATCCATCCCATTTATTGATTCTTGATTTTATTTCTTGTGCTATAAGAGTCTTATTAAGGAATTCGGGGCCTAAACTGACATGATGAATACTTGGGCCTGTTTTTCTTCTATTAGGCACAGGGTCTCCGGTTTAATTCCTAGGTCCTTGATCCACTTTGAGTTGAGTTTTGTGCATGGGGGCTTAATTTCATTTTGCTGCATATGGATTTGCACTTTTCCCAGCACCATTTGTTAAAGAGGCTATCTAAGAGGAAAGTTTATTGCTTGGAGTTCATTCCTTAAAAGAAAAAGTCAACAATTAAATGACCTAACATTACATCTCAAAGCCCTAGAAAAGAAGAAAAAATCAATATCAAAAGCAGTAGAGGAGAGTAAATAATTAAAATCAGAGATGAAATTGAAACAAAAGAACAATTGAAAAAATTGACAAAACCCGAAGATGGTCCTTTGAAAAAATAAATAAAATTGATAAACCCTCTTTGATTTCTACAAGATTCAATGTTCTGTGCTGAACATCCATCCTAATTCCATATCCCAAAGATTAAACAGCTGTTGAACCTGACTGCCCAACACTTGCTGCCTCACACTTCATTTGCCTATCTTCCTGATCACCAGATCTTTATCCCATTATAGATATGTATGAACTGTGAATTGATCCCCTAGCTCACAGCTGCCTTGCCTGGCTGGCTATCTGCCTGAATTTCTCAGTGTTCCTGAGTCCAAAATCTGTCATTGTGCTCTTTCATGTGGAACGCTGATATTAACTGCAATGTGACTAACACCATGTCTTACCTATAGACTTTTCATCCAGATGTTACTTCCTTAGTATCTGTCTGGTCCTATGGGGTAAGTCAGTCCTAGATATGAATCCTTTCTCTTCTTCAGTGCCCTGAAACTGTTTTTCACAAAACATGATCCAGAGATAGCAGATTCAAAAAGTAGGAAGAAATTGAAAAATTAGTGAAATTACAAAGTAAGATACTATGAGTTCTCTCATGAAGGTAGGTAAAGTACAAAAGTAGGAAATTCACAAGCTGATAAAATTGAGAATCAAAGCAGATATGCAGGCAGTTTACATACAAGAATGCTGTTCAAAGATTATGGATATCTAGGTCCCTTGGGTATTCCTGTACCAAAACCCCAATCTGCAGATGATTAGCGAGACAAGTCAAGGCCTCAATCTTGGAGAGACTAGGCCCAAGAAAGGTTATTGAGACAAGAAGAGAAGAACAAAATAATTACAAAATACATTTGTGAAGTGGAAATTAGATCCTAGGTATGTTTGTATCAAGATATTGGAACTATCTGGGTATAGTGGTGCACGCCTGTAATCCCAGTGGCTCAGGAGGTTGAGGCAGGGGGATCGCAAGTTCAAATCCAGCCTCAGCAAAACCAAGGTGCTAGGCAACTCAGTGAGATCCTGTCTCTAAATAAAATACAAAATAGGGCTGTAAATGTAGCTCAGTGGTTGAGTGACCCTGACTGCAATCCCTGGTATCTGCCCCCCTAAAAAAAATTGGTTCTGGAACTTGAGTATTAGAAAAGGAAGAAGTTGAATTGATAGTAAGTCAACTGAATATGAAATACTTTTCTTAAATTGTTTAGTCCAAGTTCATAATTGAGCCTCAGTTTGTGGAAATAACAGTCACATATATCAAGATTTGTGGCTCTTAATTTAGTTCATGTTCTCTGTACTGGAAATAGTACAATATAAACTATGACTTATAAATCAGTAAAATACAACATGAATAATTTTTAGAACTTTTACCCTTTCTGGGGCAGTTACATACAAATGTCTTTTTACTCTTATGGAAACCTGAAATGAAAAGACCAGCTTTAGGCAGTGTCTCCAAAAATTTTGTTGGGGCCTATCTATAAGAAACCAAAAACTTTTCTTCCCCTTTCATTTATTATGGAGCTACAATATAGTTAAAATAGTTTATTGGAATATGACATTGCAGATTGTGTATATTACTATAAATTTATGTCTCTGCTGGTATGCATAGAAGATTCTGTATCTACTTATAAGCAAGAAGGTGTAAAAGGGTCCTTTGCCTTAGAATACTACCTTATTACCCACAAGAGGGATTTGGGAATAAGGGATCAGCTTCATCTTTCTTTTGAATACATAATTTCATCTCTGCAGTAATGTAAGTTTCAACAAGAACCATGTCAACATAATTACCATAATTTGTTGTAGTTTGGGAAGGGTTCTTATTAAATTAATCCCACTTTATTTTTATGGTGGTGCCAGGAATTAAAACCCAGCCTTGTCACGAGCTACATCTTCAACTCAATCCAAATATTTATTGCAATTCTGTTGTTTCAGCTTTGTCATAAAGTTGAAGTTGTGTCAAAATGTAAATATGTGTTTTCTGTTCTAGGGTAACCTACAGTCTAGTAAGTGACATGAGAGAAAATTAACTCTGATGACAGATTAAAAAGTGCTATCACAATAGGTACTAAAAATGAAAAATATAGGAAACTATTTTCTGTTTACATTAAATGTCCAGAATAGGTAAATTGATATACAAATAAAATTGATTAGTGGTAATCGAGGACCGGAAAGAAAGGAAAAATGGGGAGTTATGGTTAATAACTATGGGCTTTCTTTTCAGGGAAATGAAAATATTCTGGAATCAGACAATTGGTGATGGTTGTATAGCATTGAGCATGTACTGAAAATGTAAGAATTACATATTTATAATAGTTGAAGCAGTGAATTTTATGTTATATAAATTTTATCTCAATTAAAAATAACTCACACAAACGTACAAACACACATGATTTAAAATATAAAGGAAGAAAACTGTTCATTCCAAGTGAAAATAGAGTTCACAAAATACAGGCATGATACATTTGATGGACACCCATCAAGAGTGGATTTTCTAATAGGTATTTCAAAAGCTTATTTGAAAAATGAGGTTTTTTGGAACTGGGAAATATTTTATGCAGGTCAAATATCACTGAGATATTTGACAAGCACAGTAGCGCACACCTGTAATCCCAGTGGCTCAGGAGGCTGAGGAAGAGGGATTGTGAGTTCAAAGACAACCTCAGCAAGCACTCAGGAACTAAGCAACTCAATGAGACTATCTCTCTAAGTAAAATACAAAACAGGTCTGGGGATGTGACTCTGTAGTCAAGTTCCCCCAAGTTTAATGCACACTACCAAAAAAAAAAAAATACTGAGTTTTAGGCAAAGTCACTCAAAATGTAACACTTCTTAACTAATATTAAAGGAAAGACTTTTTAACAACTGCTAGGATACAATTACTCCTGCCACCTTCTGTAAACGAATCTACATAATTCCTACACTTTATTTCAAGATTATTCATTCACTATTATTTAAACTTGATTGAATATTTAGGTAACTTATACTTGTTTTCTACTGTTTCTAACTAACTTAAATGCACCGTATATCTGAGATGCTTAATCAAAAATTATATTTCTATGAGAGCATTGTTTTAGTACACTGAATATATAATAGTACATTCAGTCTAATAAAATAGTAAAATATTAAAAATATTAATTCAAAGAGTATTTGTTTTAGTTTAGGACACTATTTTGCTATTAATCTCAACACCTAATATGATACAAAACCTTAACAATGTTGTTATTAGTTAATGCAGTGATATTTGAAAATAAATTGTAAAGTTTGACAAGGAATGACTATGTTCTCTTTTTTCTTTTTGAACTGTGTATTTCATTTATTTATATTTTATGCTATGGAAATAAATGAAGAGAACATATTACCTATTCACTTATTTGCTCATTAATTCATATAATATAGAGTCAGTGGCCCTGTTCTTAAGCAATATACTTGGTAGAATATACTTATTTCTGTTCTTTTTTGTCATTATTTTTTCCAAATAAATGGCATTTCAAAAAATTTTACATTTTACATGATGATTTTTAAATTCGTTTCTGTTGATGATTATTTACATTTTGTATCTTTTATTCTGGCCTGTACTATGTGACCATAGTAGACTTATTAAACAATTTATGTGTTTTTTTTTTATTTTTTGTAGATTCTACAAAGAAATTAAAGGATGTTCTTGAAGAATTCCATGGTAATGGCGTGCTTGCAAAGTATAATCCTGAAGGGGTAAAACTTCTTTTTTCTTTATATTAGTTTAATATTTATGGTTAGAAGTGGGTATTTCTTCATTCAAAGTTCTTGAAAATATGTATAGTGTGTAGGCATATATATATTATATGCCTACGTGCATAAACACACATATATGTATATGTATACATATATACACATACATGTATATATCGCATCCCATAAATCATTACCATATACCATACATAAAAAAATATTCATAACAATGCTTTTCTGAAGGTATCATAAATATAGCATGTTTTTCATTCAAAATTTACTAATGATATTGTATTTCTACATTATATGCTTGAAAAGTTAGATCATTTAAATAGTGTTAGTTTTTTTTTTTTTTTTTTTTTAGATGTCAAGAAATCAGATCAGATAGTGGAGAGAGGGTGCTTGATTCTCACTCTATAACCTACACATTTCAACCAATATGGGCATTAGTGTGGGGCATGAGAGTTGTCCCATTCAGGAAATTATTTCCTCAAAGATATTGTGATGTACATAATCACTTTGTCATTTTAAGGAGCCAGCTTGTACTAAAGGAAAGTAATTTCTTCCTCCAATCTTGTGCTTAACCTATTACTAGTATGGTTTGAATTCCTGAAGTCCTCTTTTTTAACTGTCAATTACTTTTGTATGCCATATTAGAATGAATGCCTTCCCTTTCCTAATCATTTGTTAAAAAGTCTTTCCTTTAATATTAGTTAAGAAGTGTTACATTTTGAGTGTCAGTATTACCATTAGTTCATTTGAGGTTTCACCGAGTGATATTTGGGTTTTATGGGAATAAAAATAGACTGCTCTTAGCAAAACACAATTTTACCTAAATGTACCATCTAGATAGATTTGTTTACAAACAAAGATGTGATATCTCTTTTGTTGTCATTTTTTTTTTTTTTTTTTTTTTTTGCATTTCCATGATTACAAGAACACAGTCCCTGGTTTTCTTTCAATCTTATTCTTCTCTGGAATATTTAGAACTTGATTTTAAGTATTCCTGTCTAATCTCTAGATTCTAACCTTCAAATATTCCTATTGTTTTATAAATCCCTATCAATTATTTCTCATAGCTGTTTTTCATGTCACGTTTGCTTATTCTCTCTAAGTATGATAAATTTTTATATCTATTTAGTCTAAAATTTATTTTCTTTTTAAAACATAAAATTATTATGTTTAATGGTAAAAAGGTGGGGAAAATAAAGGCAATTTTTAAACTATTCCTGTTTTCCTCTATCAGGAACAAAACAAACGTCTGTTCTGCATTTCCCTCACAATTTATTTTCCTAGAAGCTATAGTGTGAGAAAAATAATATTAATGGCTTAATTTGTAGAACTGAAAATCTCAAAGTCCAAGAAAGCAGAGTGTGGAAATTAGAGATGTCAACTACACTAAATTTCTATAAATGAAAAATGTCATTAATATTAACAATCACCGTATTACCTGAAAACATGCATATTTATCTACTCTACACATAGATTAAAACTTATTTTTCTCCCTAAACATAGCTGCAAGCTATCATAGACTTTTTACCTCAGTGATTTTTTTATTTAAACAATTCCCAAGATGTAGTCTTGCTAATATTATTTATTTCATGAGGACTATCATTCACTATAAACTGGATTTATTGTGGTAATTTCTAGGTTCTTTGCTAGACACACATATGATGTCAGACTTCAATCATATAATACCTCTCTGTAAAAGCACAGATCTGTAGAAATGCATTATTAAAATAATGCAGAGTGGATAAACAAAAAGCTGGATCTCATTATGACCCAACAGCAATTCTAAATTAAGGGTGAAACCACTCTTTGATCTGAATATTGATAGAAATTTTTCCTTCAGGTGAAAATTTTAAAGTATTGTGATTTTTTTAAGAAAGAAGTTATGTATTTTATAAAAGCCAATAGGAAATAATTAGGAATGTCCTCTATTGAGAATGAAAATACTAACCCCCATAGTTATTTTTAATATGTCCTTATAGAGTTTATGAAAAGTTACTCTAGTAGAATGAAAGAATCTCTACTGTTAATTCATAGGTGAAATCGTCACTCTGTCTTGAGCAAAGTTGAGACCAAAGTTGTTTGGCATGAATGACTCTTATTGATGTTCAATAATACAAGAGAAGTGATTAATCAAGGCTGACTTTAGAATAAATAATTAATCCGTTGTTTCCTAAAATAGATATGACATATCATCCATATTAAATACATTTGTGAAGAGAATAAACAGAATGTCCCTTAAATTGCATCTCCCAATACAAAGTAAAGCTGCTAAAGGAGTATATGCATTCCTTAGTTTATAATTTGCTTGCATTACTGACTTTTAAAAGTTGTATATGAAAACTTGATCCGAAGAAGTTATGAACTTCTTAAACCTATTTTAGTTGAGTAGAAATATTATGTTTAATATGCACAATGATTTATTTTTAATTCTTTTAAAGAAAATTTTGTCCTTTGAAGAAATCAGTAGCAGATATCCAAACAATGACCTTAAATATTCTTTGAATAAAGGTCTTTAAAAGACCTGACATATCTAATTTCATAAGTTTGCAAGGTCTTTAAATAAAAAAAAAATATTTTTTAAAAAGTAAAATGATGTTTCAAAGATTAACTAGTTAGATGGATGACAACAACCACAATTAAAACTACTATTCAGAGACCCAGTTTAAGGCTGATGCCCTTTCTTAAGATTTCCTCCTCCATTGAAAAGAAATAGAAAGCAGAAAGGCCCTGATTCCTACGAAGAATAGGGGAAGGGGAAGGTAGTGGATGTTATTGCTTTTATAATAAGTGCGGCATATCACAGACACATAATTATTGCTGACCTGTGACTGGTAAGGTAAGAGGTTGCTCCTACTAGTCTTTACCTAATATTATATAAATAATATGAAGTTAAGAGTATGATTACAACTAGTTTGTAGCAGAGACCTAGTCTTAGCAAAAAGATTTTCTATAAAACACTGTCAGGACGTGTAAATTATCTGATGAGAGTAGTAGAATCATTAGAATTCCACATAATTTTTTGTTTTGGTCTTGGATTTTAAAATCAATTCCAAATTGTTCTATTGATATCTAAAAAATGCAAAGAAATTGTCAATGTATGGAAATAATACATATAATCTTTAGAAGCATGAAGAAAAGATTGGCATGTTATGCTAATAAAAGGAAACATGAAGAATGGAGAATAAGTATTCATTATCTAATACATTTTTGCAAGCTCATATTTTCATTATCCACTTTCAATGACTTTCATCATACTGTATGTGTTATTCATTATATTTGTCTCATGTCAGTTCAAATTGTTTGCTTATTCAAATACTGATCTAGTCAATGGTTCTCAAATTCAAGTGTACATCAAAATTATGTGGGGGCTTATTAAAACATGAAATGTTACTTGTCTCTCTGCTTCCACCAGTTTCTGATTTGGTATTTCTGGGGTGGGGGCTGCTGAATTTGTATTTCTATCACTTTTCCAGTTTATGGTGCTGATGCTGTCAAAAATCATATTTTGAGATCCATAGGCCTAGGATATGTTTTAAAACCAATCTATAAACTTGAACTTTTAATATAATTATCAGAGACATGAGATAATGAGTATAAATTATCTTACATTAACACATGTATTCTTTCTTTCCTTGCATGCACAGAAACAAGACATTCTTAACCAAGTAAGACATTTTCTTTTCTATTACAATCTTTCTTCTTTTATTCTGATATGACCTATGAATTTCTCACCCAATACCACTGAACTAAACTTCTGAATCAATAAGGTTTACATAGTATTATATTAGCTATAATACTCATAAATTTATAATTGAGGTCAGGTATAACAGAATTTTTTTTTTCAAAATAGTGTCTTAAATGGAGGAATAGCTACCTTAATAGAAGTAAAAAAAAAAAAAAAATCTAGAGTATGGACTTCAGTTTTGTATACTCTGGAATTTAATTTTCTAATTTCACCCAGACATGTGAGACTGATGAATTAGCTTATTCAATGAAAGTCTCAATTTATTAATTTAAAATGGAAGATTTAAAAATTGCATTCAAAATAAAATGATAACGTCTTTTTGTTTTGTTTTGTCTACAATTTTATGTTTGATTCTCTGTGTGAAACATAACTTTCACAAAGCTGTTAATTTTGTCCTCCTGGCAAAAAGGGTAAACAGTCTGTTGTTTCTATTACTTTCTTCCAGGGAAGTTATAGGTCACTAGTTCAGTTGAATGTATAGAATTACAACACATTATTGGGTGCTCTATGTAGATAATTCTATCACTATATATATATATAGATATAGATATAGATAGATAGATATAGATATAGATACATGTATACACATATATATATATATATGATACATGTATGTATATATATATACATATATATATAGTGATACATGTATACATATATAGATTTATGTGATACATGTATACACATATAGATACACATACATGTATACACATATAGATATATTTTTTACCAACTTAGGCATATTTTCTTACTAAAATGCATGAGTTGTCTAAAACTATAATATTGTTTCTCTTGGGCAATACTGGATACATAAAAGCTGTTTTTTGTTCTCAAGTATTCTGATGCTTTCTGTAACAATAAGCACAGTGATTTCATGCCCTGCATGTAAAATATAATCAATATATCAGAGTGGTCTTGGTGGATTTAGACACCAGTCCTAGACAGCATGAGTTTCTGCTTTTCTTCTCCTTGTTTGTCCTTTGTTCCATTTGCTGTTCTTTAGTAGCCAAGAAATCTCTTGCAGAATAAAAAGACCAGGCAAAGCTGAGGGGAACCAAAAGGTTAAAAAATATTGAAAAGCAAGCTGGGGATATAGCTCAGCTGGTAGAGTACTTGCCTTGCATGCACAAGGCCCTGAGTTCAATCCCCAGCACCACACACACACACACACACACACACACACACACACAAAATGAGAATGTTACCTGTGCTATTGCTCTACCTGTGTCTTTGGGGTACCAGTGTT